GTCCCCCCGTCAGTGATCCCCCCTCCCTGCCCCGGGTGGGAAGGGGGAGCAGGATTTGTGCCGCCGGGGCAGCATTCGGCCCCCTCTGCCTTACCCGGTACTTGTTCTCGCCGATCTGCTCCACTTGAAATCTCTTGGCACACTTGCACTGGGCCACTTGCCGGGTGACCTGCCATCACCAACAAGAGAGGTAAGGGACCAGGACTTTGGGAGTCCCCCCCAGTACAAGGCACTGCTCGGACAAAACACAGACCTGAGCAGCCTTTCCTTCAAAACCACGGTAGGTACTGCCAGTACCAGCCAATTATTTTGGCTCAGCACCACCACAATCCTTTCTTTTTTCCTCCCTTTTGTCTTCCCCACTGCCAACCCGCAGCCTGAACCACCCCAACACCCCCAAGCACCCATCTCTTTCCGTGCTCTACCTCATCTTCGATCTTGTCGGCATCAGTGGTGGGGCGGTAGGCATCCTTGTTGGGATGGAGAGCAGCCAGCAACTCATAGTAGTCGATGTAGCCATCGCCGTCACGGTCAAAGATGTCGGCCACCGCGGTCATCTCCAGCTTCGTGGTGGGGAATTCTGGAAGGAGAGAGAAATGAGGAACCGATGCGGAGACCTCGCTCATCAGAGCTGGGGATGTCGGAGCAGGGTCTGCATCTCGGTTCTTGAGCAGGGACAACCTTGTCACAGCGAGGTGGCCATTTTCCGAGCTCGTTTCAGGCAGGCAGGGACTTACTAGAGGCCAAGATGCCATCGATAAACTCCTGCCGGGTGATCTTCCCATCTTGGTCTTTGTCGATGCGCCGGAAGAAGTCCATGACGCGGGATTTCTTGTGGTTCATCCAGCGCATATACTTCTTCCGCCAGACATCAAAGTCAAAATTTGCAAACTCCTTCAACTGGAAGGAAACCCATGAGAGTCGGGGGGGGAAATCCCCGAAGGAGCAGCACCCCTGGCTCTACAGCACCCTAAACCATCAGCCTTCAGGTGAGCCCGTGCCCGAGCTCCCGATGCTAACGCTCCACTGCCCGCCCTCCCGGGAAGGTTTATCGGGGTTTATCCAGACAAATCCCATTAACGAGCGAGCCCATTCCAGACTCG